TTATTATTTTCTTTTCTGAGTTCTTGCTCAGGATCCAATTTTCCCCTCCATATAAAAGTACAGGTCTTACTATAGTTTTGTAGATTCTAATTTTTGTCTTTCTTGTTAAAAGTTTTGATTTCATTAGTTTACTGCATGCGTACCAACTCTTATTTGCTAAATTTATCCTATTCTGAATTTCCATGTCTTCCGTATTTTTGTCAGATAGTAGAACGCCTAGATAGGTGAAATTATTTACTCTTTGGAATTCATGGTTGTTGACTTGAAAAAACTCTTCATTATTTCCAGCTTCTCCTCTTGTTACTATCATGAATTTGGTTTTTGCATAATTTATTTTTAGCCCTACATACTCAGTTTCATTTATTAGTATCTCCGTTAAAACCCTAAGATCTTCTTTTCTTTCAGCCATCAGTACTAGGTCATCTGCAAAAGCTAATATATTAATATTCGTTCCTAGTTTTAGTCCTATGTGATTTTTTATTGTTTGTAGTGCTTCCTCTAGAGCAATGTTGAATAGGAGGGGGGAGAGTTATTATTCTGTGATTGGAATACCACTCGCCGGCCAGTTCTTTAGGTTTAGGGAAGTAGTGCAAGTCTATATATAGCTTCAAGGTCTTACCCACCCCTTCCAAACTATATTTAGATAATTTTTATAATTGTATTTGAATCGTATAATCTTAGTTTGTTAAAAATGGATTGTATGTTCAACAATTGCAGTCCATTATTGTTATGCAGTATGGTCCCAAATTATTGTTTTTGATTTTGAAACATCACAGTTCATTTGACAAAATTATAGTTGAAGCAGCCCAATGTCAAGTCACGCTTGTGCAATAGTTTGTTTACAAGCTTTCTCCAGACACTGGGGAGGGTCGGGTCTGATAAGCCGTCTATTGTTCACCCCCAAGAATGTCCGACCCTCATTAGTGCCGCTCGGCTGCACTCAGTGGGGAACCCAATACCACAAATCAATCTTTTAAATGAATAAAAATATTTGGTAATAATTGTTTTATTAATATTCACCTTGAAATTTCAATAAATTTGGTGTAAAATTTGACAAAAATCGGCCATTTTAAACGAATATTAATACAGTACCAAATACCAATAAAGTACATTCATTGGTGATTAAATAATAGGTAAAAATTAGATTTTCGTCAAGTTTTACCCCCTGCTGTGCGCTATGTCACAAAAGCTGATAACGACATGGGTGATTAGTAACCATGGCAACTTGTTGAATGCGTGATGATGGGAACCCCAAGAAATAGAAGAACAAAGAGAAAGAATAATGACGTAGTTATCTTTATACCCTTTTTACAATTTCTGTTATTGTTATCTTTATGTAAGATTTTATGATTTTGTTTTATAGGTTTATAAAATAATTCTTATTAACTACGGGAATATTAATTTATAATATATTAACGTGCTTCTCTTCTGAAACAGCAATACCGGATACATAATAAAGGTCAATGACCTAAAATATCACGATTGTGCAATATTGTATTTTGATGTTGAAATTAAAATCACGACAAAAGTTTGTATATATCCATGGTCCCTATAGTTTAATCATTTAATATGTACACAATCAATGCTAAATAATCGTGGTTAGTTCTAACTTTATTACTATTATTCTTACTTTATTTTATTCACTAGCGCTTTCAGAAACTAGGTTTCCATTCAAAAGCGCTAGTAAATAAAACAAATTATTTTATTGGCCTTGCCTTGTTGAACATAGCTGGCTTATTAATTGGAATCCTTCTGTACTTCTCGTCCATAAACTAAAAATAAACTTTTCCACATAAACTACAAAGTACTCCAGTGTTATTGATGTCTTCCATTACTCGTATTTCTCAGAATCTTCGCATTGAAGAAGGAGCACATCATCCGCAAATGACCTCCGCAACACAGCAGCAATCAAAATGTATCAATAACATTAACCCCAACTCCAACTTTAACTCAGACATAACTCGATCATAACATAAAGAATAACGAACGATTTGAATAATAATTATGAGGAACTAGTTGCAGTGCAGTCAATATAAATACTACGACAACGACGCTAGTTAGTGGTTACTGGTTGGTGACCGTGACTTTCTGAAATAGCTGCTGCTACGCCACCAGTTACTAGCGCATGCGCAGAAGCGCGGCATTTTCCGGTCTTGAAAGGCTCGCATCTTGTCCTGTGATTGGAATACCACTCGCCGGCCAGTTCTTTAGGTTTAGGGAAGTAGTGCAAGTCTATATATAGCTTCAAGGTCTTACCCACCCCTTCCCCCTCCGGTCCTACTTGACTCACTACCTGCGCTCCTTTCGAGGTCATTGCCCAACCCCTCCCACCCTTCTATTGTGTTGCCTTTCTATTGTTTCTATTCTGTCTTTTCTGCTTTATCTCTGTTCGTTCCAGATGAATCTAATCGTAAAGCAAAACAGCCGATAACGACTAAACTAGTTATCGGTATTGCATCATACGGCTTCTTTGCCGTTTGCTGTTAGGTCGTTGGAAACGTATTGCTGTAATTTTGTCCTGGGAAACTAATGATGGTTATGGAGATTTAGTTTTCTGTCCAAAACGTCAAAATATATTGTCTATCCGAAAAAGTCGGATATATAACGGATAGTGTCGGATATCGAATTTGGGCTCGGTTCGGATACGGATATCCGAACCGAACCGAATCCGACCCGATTTTTCGGATATCCGCACACCTCTAATATATATATATGAATTTGAACAGATGGTGTTTTTGGCCTCTAGGGACCTCAAAACGAAAAAAAAATCGGTCCCGCGACCAGGTCTTACCATGAGAGAGAGAGAGAGAAAATTCTTTATTTATTACACACTGTTTTGCAGCAATAAATACAAAAAATAAAAATATCACATGGGTCACAATGACCTGTGCGTGATAGAGAATTGGAACCATATATATATATATATATTGGAACCATGAGTACTACGGTAATAGCTTATTCCCTATATGGGAAATTCGCTAAAATGAAATAATGAAATAATATACATAAATAGCCTACAATATTTATTCATATTTTATTGTCAAATAATATTATGATTATAGATAGAAGTTAAAACAAACAAAAATCAGGTAATTAATGAATTTTGGCCCGAGACCTGAAGGCAGCCCGACCCGACCCGACCCAACCCGAACCAAAAAAGTCTGACCCGCAGCCCCTAATATTTAGGCCCAAAAAAGTTGTTTGACTAAGGAGAGCCTTTTATGCCTATTTTATGACATGACCAAGGCCTTTGACCTGCTAAACCATAGTGTCCTGCTTCGTAAACTACTTTCCCTGGGAATTGCAGGAAGACCTCTGCATTGGATATTCTCTTATTTAAGAGACCGCCACTTGGTCGTATCACTCAAGCATTTGGGGAATGACAATACTCTGCGCACATATAAGTCGGCTCCATCCCCTGCCATGAATGTGGGTGTTCCACAGGGATCAAACCTAGGGCCTCTATTGTTCTTGCTCTATGTTAATGACCTACCTGGCTCCATAACATCTGGAAATGTGTGGCTTTTTGCTGACGATATATGTCACCTAATCTGTAACTCTGATCGTGTCAGTATTATTGAATACTTGAATACTTACTTACTTACTTGAATACTTGAAGGCTTCGTCTCTGAGCGGGATTCCGGATGGACTGCGTCAAATTTAATTTAAAAAGTAAACTGAGATGGCGGCGAGTTAAAAAAGTGGCACGTCATCTAATTCTTTAAATGTGTAAATAGGCCTATTTTGAAGTTTTTCCTTCACTGAGGTTTTAAACCCAGCCACATCCATACTTTTGACTTCTTCAGGCAGACTATTGTAGAGTTTAATTGCGGTCACTGGGAAGCTATTCAGGGATTTGGACAGTCTGCATTGAGGGGTGTCGAGGTTTCTAGCGTTCCTGGTGTTATGCTGATGTATATCTTGTCTTCTTCCATACATAGAGATGTTCTGGCGTACGTGTTCAGACAATTGAGGACATATTGTCCATAAACAGTCAGGATGCCGAGACGTTGAAAGATAGGCCTATGAGTAAAATCTTTGCCTGTTATTTCAGTAGAGGTTATCACTCTCAACGCCTCCTGTTGAAGATACTCAATCTAGTTTAATTGAGATGCAAAATTGGTGTAACGAAAACTGCTTGATCTTGAACTCTGATAAGACAAACCTTATGGAATTTTACATTAGGAAAAAACCTGAACCAGCTCCTCAACTAGTGCTAGATGGGGTCGCACTCACTTCCCGTGAAAGAGTAAAATATCTTGGCCTGCACATAACAGAAAATCTAAAGTGGGATGTACATATTAGTTCAATAGCTTCAAGATTAAGATCTGTAATCAATTTAATTACTAGGCTCCAGAAATTGGTCCAGACTGACATTTTGTTAAAAGTTTACTATGGATGTTTTCACAGTATAATATCTTATGGAATAGTATTCTGGGGAGGTAGTACCATGGCCAATAGGATCTTTCTCCTCCAGAAACGAATTATTAGGAGAATGTGTGGTGCTCAACGTCTTGCTCACAGTAGGCCCCTGTTCAAGGACCTTGGAATTTTAACCCTCCCATCACTATTTATTTTAGAATCTGCCATCTTGGTGAGAAATAATCCGGACATCTTTTTCACAAACAATCTGGTCCATTAGTACAACACGAGAAGAGCTAATCAAGTACATGTACCCCAAGTTAACTCAACTTTGGCCTGCAAGAGCCCATATTTTAGTAGTGTCAAGATCTACAACTCACTACCAAGGAACATTATCCAAGAGCAAAATTTCAATAAATTTAAGAAGATGTTAAAGGAATATTTATGTGAAGCGGCCTATTTTAAAGTAGAAGATCTGTTCAATTAGGCCTATTATTGTTTTTCTACCCATTTGACGACCACGTCGCAGGAGCGATGCTAGTGGGACATCATCAAGTACAAGTACAAGTATGTTTGTGGTTTGTAATTCTAGTTGTTTTAAATCTTAATTGTAACTAATTATTGTTTGTATTTTCCAGGTATGCCTTCAATAAAAATAAAGATAAACTCTAACTTCCCACTTCCTTCACTGTTAGAATCCGATGACAGCGAGTTAGAAGATCTCTTAGATGATATTTTAGAACGAGGACGCAACCTTACAAAAAAAACACCTGCTGCCAGAGTTCCTTTAGGAATAGCCACTAAGTAAGTACTACTTAGTTGTTCTTTTCTTAGCAAATCTATGTTTCTCTTATTTGCTAAAGCAAACTGGTTAAGTTTGAATTAGAAATATTGTGCAGGAACGTCATGCAGGAATTTAGTTACAGACTGATGGATTTTAAAATGACTCCAGTTATCAAAATGTTCCCCCATTTTAAGTTAGACATAACACCTACAGCGTTGTGTGGAAACAAAAATAATTATCTTCCACTTTTTACTTAAGTTTAATTCTGATTAAAAGTATTTTTTATTTAAGACAATATGGATACCTTTCATATTTATTTTAGTTTGATCAAGTACTTATTATTTTCAGTGTGTCAACATCCCTGGACTCAAGGCTTGAGTATGGTGTAGACACTAATGCAGAAGTTACTGTTCGAAGAATGACAATTCATGGAGCTTACACACTACCAATGAGTGTTAATGCGCCCATAGCAGGCCCTCAGACTGTGAGTATTACATCTATTAACAGAAAACCATAAATATTTAGAGATGGAATGAGCAAATTTGATGGTTGCTTTCCCCAAACAAATATATGCAGGGCTCAATTTGAAACAAAACTTAGTAAAATAGTTCAGCCACAGCAAACCTGATGACTAAATAATAATTCCATAAACAAGTTGTATTTATTTTCCATCCAAATAACATTAGATTTCATAAGTACTTACCTAGGTTTACAAAATCAGCTTTATTATAATAATAAATTACTTTCAATTTCCTATCGTAGTCAACAGTAGTTGGTTCAGTGGTCAACAGTAGTTGATTCAGTGCACATAAAAGGCTTATTGGATGTTTGCTTAAGATCTTCATAATTTATTACGAGGGTGATGATGCAATAAAAAACCAATTATCAGTCCCAAATCCATTAATATTTTATCACGACAATAATTGTTGTTTCCAAGAACTGTTGAGTTTTATCACTTTTATTCCTTTACTACTTTCCCCAATTCTATTTTATCATAAAAATAATAGTTTTATGAAGACTGTTAAATTTTATCTCTAACTCAGTAGGCCTACTGTGGACCTGGAACAAATTTAGGGAGGAGATTAGCAAGAGGTGATCAAGGCATAAATAAATTGGATGCTGCATGCAAAATCAACGATATAGCTCACTCAAGATCGAAGAATAGTAAAATTAGATCAGTGGCTGACAGATTATTAGCTTGATAAAGGGTAAAAGCTTCAGACTCTAGTATTAGTGAGAGAGCTGCCGCCTGGGCAGTTACTAACATAATGAATACTGAAGCAAAATTTGGTTGGGGAAAAAGGCAGACTTGAAAAATTTAAAAATAAATAAGAAAGAAAATACCTGTTGGGAAAAATAAAAAAAATCCTAAATGTGCCTGCAAGAGGAAAAATAAACGTGGTAAAATATATATAAAAAAATTTGGTCGGAAATAATTGATCAGTTGTGTAAAATTATCTTGTCAAATTGTTGCTTCAAACATGTTTATTCCTAAAAATTTTTATCGTAATTTTATTACCACTTTATCATAGCTATTCATTAGGGATGGGCGAGATTGGATTTTTAGTTCGAGACGAGACGAGACTAGATTTTTTATTTCTCATAAAATTTCGAGACGAGATCGAGACGGGATTTCCCTTCTCATACACAACGGGAAATGCACGTTCAAAATTTTTACCTGATTTTGTAACATTGTTAGATGACTGTTTAAATACAAAAATAATGATAATAGGCAAGAATATTTACAATCTTTTATTAAAAAACATCAGCATAACATTTTTTTATTAATCACGCCTAACTTATTAAAAATGCCTACGATTAGGAAACATAGTGATATCAGTTAGGATAGAGTTCAACTTATCCTAAAATAAAATAAATCATAAAATAAAAGTAATATAAATTTTTATAAAATAGTTACTTGTTTTGACTTTTTATAGTAATAAAACATTCCTCACACTGCTTACACTTAACAAAACTTCTCAAATGTTATTAAAGTAATATTATTAAAATAATTAAAGTAATATTAACATTTAACGAATTAATTAAATAAGAACGCCTTCGCAAAGGAAACGCAACTACAACACGCTCCTGTATTGCGGGTATTGCATTGACTTTCTGCAGGCGTTTTTAATTTTTTTTTTTTTCTCGTCTCGATAAAAATCTTGGCCAAAAAAAATCTCGTCTCGTGTAACGAGATTTAAAATTTTCCGAAATTTCGAGACTTGACCATCCCTACTATTCATAGTATCTCAGAGTAAAATAGGTAAAGCCTTTATCTTAACTGTGTTTTTTTTTTCTTGACACAATCCTCTTAAGAGTGAAAGGCTTTAATAATGTGTGGTACAGTAATTGTTGTTAGAAAACCATTAATATAGGGTACTATTCATTTTTTTAGTAATGTCAATGTATTAAAATTGAAAATAATGGTTTGAATACAATTCTGAGAAGAAAACCGCAAAAATACCAGTAGTCGCGTACCATACCGATTTTGTACCGAGAACCGAGGTACGAAATATTGTACCATACAAACCTTAAATTTTCTGTACCGCAGACCCCTAACAGGGAAGAAAGCTGTTTTAATTATTGTAAAATGTTAATATAGGGTGATTACCGAGAAACGCATGTTTTTCAAATAACTAGTATTCAGACAATTCAAAGCAAAAAATATATTTATGAGTGGAAAAACAGTGTACACAATATGCAATTTCAGAATAAAATTACTTACAATTTAGTGTTTAAAAATTACAGTACATATCTAAGGTGGTCGCCTTCTGCTTTGATACAGTGTTGAAGGTGTTCCTTAAAACTTGCTACGGATTTTGCTAACATATCTCTAGGAATGGCGTTGATTTCCTGGCGAATCGCTTCTTTAAGTTCCTGTATTGTTTGTGGGTTGTTTATGTAAATTCTAGATAAAAAACCATTGAAAGAAATCTGGAACTGCAAGATCCGGTTAGCGAGAAAGCCAAGTGACATCACCAAAACGTGTGATAACTCTTGTAGGGGATGTTCGAAGAAGGAATTCCATACCAAGCAGAAGGCGACCATCTCAGAGATGGAATTTTTTTAAACTAAATTGTAAGTAATTTTATTCTAAAATTGCATATTGTGTACAGTGTTTTTCCACTCGTAAATATAACTTTTTATCTGAATTGCCTGAATACTCGTTATTTGAAAAACATGCGTTTCTCGGTAATCACCCTATTATAAGCTAACTACAACATATAAATTTGAAATGTTCAGTTTTTTTTTTTTTTTTTTTCTCTGTAACCTTTAATCATTTAATCCCACAACAACGCTTCAATGTACAAAATTATTTGTTTTTTAAGCTCTTCCTAATAGTTTTAATGAAAATTAGGCATTTTTATGTTTAAAAGGCAAAAATAATAAATCAACAATTTCTGAAGAATGTTAAAACCTTTTATCACTTTGTTTCTATTACCCAATCTTCTAAGTGTGTGTTCCTTGTTATTCATTTAAGTGTATCCAGCCCTACTTGTGCATGCAAAATTTAATCAAAATAGGACCAAAATTACTCTAATTAATGTGTTTACGGGCATGGTAATGTTAATATAACAATAAACAATTTGACTAATTTAACACAATATTATTCAAACTAACACAATAACTGAGTGTTTAACTCATTCACTACGAGGTGACTCAAGGCATATTAAACAGAGGAGTGTGACGACTGGTAGGCAACGTTAAACATGTTTAGTTCCTTAAAATTCTTAAACTAATTTTAAAACTGTTTTATGATGGCTATGGATTATCTTGCTAATAAAATAGGCAAGGCTTTTATTTTAAATGTTTTATTTTTCTTGACACAATCCTGTTGGGAGTAAAATATTTTAATAATGTACGGTAATTGTTGATAGAAAACCAGGAGTGTTCAATACTATCCATCCTCATAGTAATGTCGGTTTATGAAAATTAAAAATAATGGATTAGATACAATCTTGAGAAGAAAACACCAAAAATACTTGTAACCGTGTACCGTAAAGATTTTGTACCGAGAACTGAGGAATAAAACAATATACCGTACCAAGCCAGATCCCTAATATTTAAGGATACAGATGATCTGATTACTGGTGTTATACAGGTATCAATGGCTGTAGGGAGCAGCTCCCCCTCTCGCTGGGAGGAGCCTCTGACTGCTCCATGGCAGCAGCCTCAACCAGCCTGTGATCAACCAAGCAGTGTGGACATGCTCAGGAACTGCTTTGATGGCATCTTCCTAGACCTGCTCAACAAGGTATCCCATCCACTAAACAAAAAACATAACAATCCATTCAAAACAGAGTATGACTGATTGTGTGACATTATGTTATTACCTCAAAAACATATTAACAATTTCACCACATGGACAAATTTGATTAGTTCAAATGTTATAATTTCAAGTCAAGCAAAAACCTGTAAACTTTGAACATAAACACATTTTACATTTCGACTCCTTGGATGGAATTGATTAAAAAATTTTATTTCTTTACTTTATTAATGAAAAAAACTAGTGATTGTCGGATCCGGATATCGGACTACCGGATCCGCCGGATCTGAGCTAGAACCGACGCCCGATTGGATCCACAAAAAATCGGATCTTGGGCTGGATCCGGTTTTAATGGATCCGATTTTTTTATACTATTAACACAAAACGGGCGAGTATTCGAGATGTCGAGTTCGAGTAGAGTACGGCCTTGAAACTCGAGCTTATCTTTAAATTCCGCCAGTTTGGTTAAAAATTGTAAAAAATCAATATTTGTTAAAATTTAACTTGCGTTTACATAAAATGATGGATAATTTGTATTACTGTAGATTCTACAGTAATACAAATATAGAAAAAAGCAAGAGGTAGTTTTCCTAACCTATTTTTATAGCTGTCACGACAGAATGGGTCAACTCAAAGCAGTCGCCGGCGACTGACTGGCAATGGTATACAGCTAGTACTGACTTGACACAGAATAGAATGACATGATCGGTAGTGATTTTGTTTTAAACTAGGCCTACTGTTTCACAATAGAAAATTCCACTACTGAACTGTTACGTAAGCAATAAATTTATGTTTATAAAAGTCAGAATAGAAACACTATAAAGGCAAAACAATAGAAGGAAGGAAGGGGTTGTGCAATGACCTCAAAATGAGCGGAATAGCAACATTGAGTAAGGGTTTGGGGGGGGGAGGGAAGGGTGAGACCTTTGAGCTATATTTAGACTAGACTTTCACCACTTCCCATATGGCTGGGTACGGGGATTACAATAGCAGGTTTATTCCTTGCCTGGTTTGACTTTTGTCTTTTTGTGTAGGAGATTTGAATAATCAAAAATATAATTTGAATTGACCACAATTATTTAGCATTGATAATACAATTTGCAAGGGACCAGGAGGGAATAGACCAAATCACTAAAATTAATAGAATAACACACAAAGTAAACAAGAAATGAAATACAGAACACGATGATTTAACACTGTCACTCAATTTTGTTATCTAGAAGGGTCGGTGAACTAATCAATAAATGGCCAAAACCAGGGCGCCAGATTTATCAGCTGAAGAAAAATAGCATTTGGCAATAGAAAAAGGTATGGCCTTTCCTCCCCTTCACACAGTCTCACCACTATCCCTCCCCCCTAAGCCAGGAGGCCCAACACTTTGTCCTTGAAACACCCTAGCCTCTGAAACAATAAACCCTTACACCCGCGTTGCTGTTTTGACAACAGGCTTATGAATGCGTTCACTATTTTTCATTTTCCAGAATTAACCATCAATTATTATTATTTGCAAGGTACAAATAGGAAACTACATGACATTATGGTATTCAATGACCCATGTATTATCAAAAATTAATAATTCATTACTTATTTTGATAATAAAAAGCATTCATTATATATATAATCATCAAAGTAACTGTAATAAATAACCTATTTTATTTATACAAAATAAAATAGGTACAAAATTGTGTGGCCTGTCAAACTGTATAAACAAACATTTTATTCTATAAAATACAGATGGTAAATAGGGGTTGGTTTAAAGGAAATAAAATACAAAACAGATTAATTAATTATTTTGATAAACGATAGAAAGGTTATGGGATTGATTGAACTAAAATAACCGCAGGGAAACTTAAAAGTAGAAAAGTCGTCAACCACAATCTGTTTAATCAGTACATCGTTAGAGAGAGAGGGGGGGAGAGAGAGGGATAGCAGATAGGGGCGTTTGATAGGGAATCTGAAAAAGTAAACAAACAAGGAACAACGACGCGACAATACTCGTTTATAGCCTTATTGTCTCGCCCACTACATTTACACACGTGACCACTTTATGTTTCTTCCTTATCTTTCATCCGTCCCAAAATGGAATTCCTGAAATAGTTTGTTGGTATAATCTCCCCTCCCACACAAGGCGCAGTGCTCAGTGCGCACTGTAGGTTGTCACGGCAACCGTGTGTCGTCATAGCGACGAGCCAATCACGCACTCGCACTTCGTTGTAGATTACGATACGAATAGCTGTGTTAGAAAGACAACGCGATAGGTGGTAGTTTGTCTTTTTCGTATATCCTCAAAATTACGATCGATAATCAGATAATCATTGCGCAACGTAGAATTGTGATAACTTTGTTTTCAATAACTACACATATTAAGTGTTTTTATATGGACACAGTTAGTCTTTGACATTGCCTAGCCATATGAATTATTTTATCATAAAAAACCCGCCCTTGAAAAAAGAAAAAACGTATCTGTATTTGGATCCGATTTTTCAAAAGATCCGGATACGGATCCGGTACCGACATTTTTTTGGATCCGCCCATCACTAAAAAAAACATTATAATAAGCTACAATATTGTAGACAGGGTCATTAGAAGGTCAAGTCATCCTTTCTTTTTAACTGTGAATGTGCCGCTTATTGATACCCCCAATCAATGTGTCTTACACATTGGTATCAATATCTAGAATATCATAGTCGTGGCCAATACCAATACCTGAATAGGCAAATTTTAGGAAAATGAATGTTGTAGCTTGTAGCCATTACATTTTTTGTACCATGGCAAACTTATCTTAATTTTTAACTTGGAACTATAATAAACTCAATCTCGATGACATGTTCATGTTCATAACAACAATTAAGTATTCTTAACCTCTTGACTCCCGAGTAAGTTAGGTCATGCTACTTTCCCCAGCCCGGGTATGTTTAGATAATTTTCAGAAAATTATAAAAAATTAAAAAAACTAAGATAACATATATAAATATATATTTTTTTGTTCAGAACAAACTGAAGAGCAATAAAATAACAAACTAAATTTATAAAATATTGAATAAAAAAAGTTTTATTTAAAAAAAGTCAAAATTTGTAAAATTTTTACAAAATTTTTCAAACTTAGCTATCATAAAAATTATTTTATTCAAATAAAACTCTTACTCATTATATACATTTTGTAGATAATTTATTTCCCTACATAGAAACATATAATACATGTACTATCAATATTTATTGTGTCATCATGTGAAATATAATCACCACTTACCCGGGAATCAGGTTTTGAGGTTATACCAACGTCATACACTGTTAGGCCTAACCCTTCATCACCATCACTGCACTGAACACTAAAATTGTCATCGAAATTGCCGTAATAATCCACTCCCGATATATCACACAACCTTTGATTATTTAAGTATAAACTAATTTCATTATCTTGAAGAGAACACGATGTTCCGACACGATTATTCATTATTTTCAAACAAACTAGCTACATACGTAATTGCACAACACACAACAAAACGTCAGCTGAGTTCTAACTTCTAAACATCGCAGCAGTGATGCATGTCAAGCTAGCGCAAAACAAAATATACCACGAGAATCAGCGTTTTTTCCCAAATATAATGGTGCCAAACACGGCATATTATTCTTCTTCCTGCAGTCGTAGTTAGCGCGGCAAATTCAAACTGCACGCGGACGCGTATACGCGCCCGTGGGTTCCCAGCGGGGCTACTGCACGGACGCGTATACGCGCCCTTGGGATTCAAGAGGTTAACCTCAGCTGTTCTTCCTGCAGATACTTCTTGGTTAGGGGTGTGCGATGTATCGAAATTCAGGTTTGATTTGATTCTGTGATGATCAAAAAACTATTCGATTCATGGGGAAGGGGCCGATTATAAGGCATATACTGAGACATTGCCATACAAGTTATTAGCATCAAGGTACATGTCATTTATTCATTGAGACATTGCTTAGCCATACAAGCTTTTAGCACATGATGTATACCAACTATGAAAAAAGTTGAAGGGTTCTGGAAAAAAACGGGGAAATCCGGATTTTTTGGAGCGATTCAGGAATTTTTGATTTTAAGCCCCTGTAGAAGATTACAATCGTTAAATGCGTCAATGCGTCTGCGAAGTTCGCGTGATAGAAAAATTCACGCATTTGCCCCGATCGTGAAGACTGTGATGACGTTTCCGTGACCGCTGGATACAATCGTTAATGTCTGCAAACCGGGGGAGATGTCAAAAATTTTCCCATGATCGAGGATGATGATGATGATATTTCTGTGACCGATGGAGACAACGATAATGTTCACAAACCACAGGAGCCATCCAGGATTTTGCCACAATCGTGGAAAACTTGTATGACCTTTCCGTGACCGCGAGAGACAACGATAAGTCTAAAAATCATGGAAGATCTCTAGAATTTTGCCGTGATCGTGGAAGACTATGATGATGTAAATACAAATTCTGGAAGAGGCAAGCAATTCACTGACATTTCCAGCAATACATGTTCTTCCCATTTATAATTTAAAATAAATATTTTTCACCTAAGCCTATAAGTCATATATGTGTAGCAACCACACACGGGAAGGGTGGAAACTCAATGATCGATTGCAGAAGAGAATTCAATACTTAATTTTTTACAGTATGTTAAACGAACAAATAATTTTTAATAGGTTACTAGCAATTGGAAATACAGACTATTTAGATGAAACTATTTAAAATTGAACATATTTTTGAAACGGACATGCCACCTGCGAGGAAGGGGAAGATAGTGCATAATCGCGGCTCACCGACACTTTGAACCCGACTGACTGATTACCCCAGGTTCGGCGGTCCTACACGTCACATAGAATGATGACACCTAATGTCAGCAAAACAATCAGGCATGCATTCCATGCCACAATCCAAACAACCGAACGTGATGTAGCAATCGATGTACTCAACACTTTGTGACACTCAACAAAACCCCAAATAAATTGCAAGACAATGCTGCTGGCT